GACAATTAATACCAGAACCAGAACTCTGATGCCAATTGAAGGTGTGAGAAAAACAAGAAATTTGGGGTTTGAATTTAGTTCTAGATTTTTAAACAAATTATTCCCAAGACAAAACAAAGAGCACAAGAACAAAAATAAATGACACAAATATTTTTATCTTGGTTCACTGTTAACAAAGTTAATCCAGTCCACCCGCCAAGATGGTTTTTCATTCTCAAACAAGGACTTAATCCACTATAACCAAACTGATTACATACCCAACAAAGACTAATTGTCAATGTTGCAAACCACAAAGACTACATGTCAATGTCTTCTTGAGAATCCTGACTAAAGCCCTAGTATCTCAAGGAACTATCAACTTAAGAGTTGAAATATAAATAGTATGTTTACAGATTTGCTTCTTGAAAGCAGATTACACAAATTTGAATATAATGAAATATCACAGCAATGTTAATAGCTAGTTAATGAACAAAATCTCCTTGCTTACAAGTTAATGAACGAAAGTTCTTTGCGTTTACAAAACTTTACAAATGAATATTTGAAATAGAGTTGAGCAGTGTTTTAGCGTAAGTTTTGTAGTGAGTGAATTGTTTAGTAGTACATTATTTCTTCAATCTTCCAAGTCTTTCTTTTATAGCCAAAAATAAATTTGTTGGAGGGTAGAATATGAATACTAAATTCAAGTTGTTTTGTCCACAACAGTCAGTGAGCGAGTGATTGACAATACAATACCATAGTATTGTCCTTGCGCCACCATATCAGGGTAGTGGGAATATTTGTACCTTGTATTATTCTCTCACGTAAACCAATTTTGATCTTATCTTCCAATCTTCGAAGACTTGCGATGGATGATTATGAAGCATGCTTAGAAGGACCAAAACTAGAGTCTTTAGAATCTTCAGCATTTGGTCTTCAGAAACACTGTCTTCAGAATCTTCAGAATTTTTTCTTTCAAAACCTTGTCTTTAGAATCTCCAGAACTTGGATAAACAAAACCAGAGTTTGAGAAGTCTTTAGAAGCTCTTCCAAATGAGTCACGATCAAAAGCTCTATCACTAACTTTCATCAGAACTATTGTTAAATAATAATTCTAGAACTTGACTGAGTCTTATAAATGCAACTGGTTTCTCTCCAGAGTCAGAGTGTGTTGAGTCAAGAACCCAATGGCGTCACACACCTTATCTTCAGAGTCAAAACATGTTTAGTAAAAACTACACACTAGACATAAATCTTTAGAGTACTAAATTATTCTCTAAGATACCATGTAATGTTATCATCAAAACTTAAGGCCAGATGCAAAACCAAATCTTGTTCTTACAACAACGACTTAAAAATATCAGTCAATGGGGAAATGGCATCCCCCACCATTTTGGAAAGAATTGGTATTCCCTTACTCTCACGTTCCTAGTAAGGATGTGTATGAAACTGCTTCTCCTGTTTTAGGGGTCCTCTATATATCTTAATATTGGAATGACGAAAAGGATATCCATAAATTCAGGAAAAAACACAAAATCTCTTGCAATTTCTACACAGGAAAATTCTTTCTTCCAACTATTGTATTTTAACCATAACAAATGTCTTAATCTAAAAAGATAAAATCTTACGTGATAAATCAACTTTGCTTAATGATGTCTAAAACATTAGTTGATATGGTTCATGAACTTACCGGGTTAATCAGAACCTGAAAGGGATCGATATTTTCGTCTGTAAAGTTGATAATGAGGACGAGAGGGTGTACCTGCAAGACACTCTGACGCCCAAGTAAGAAAGAATGCAAAGAGATACAAGATAGAAAATCTAGGGTTTTAGAAGTGAGTAATGAATATTGAATATCTGCCTCTCACAAGTGTGAGAGTTTATATAGTGCCTCCGACGCTTGACCATTGGTCTCTATTTTTGGGCCTGGATATCAGGTCCTCAAAAATAGGTAACTGTCAGAAACTAGTCATTATGACGGGAAGACATGCTCGTAACTAGTCGTTGCTCCGAGCAAAGGTACGACTACGAGCAATCGCTTTAAGGCGTTCTTGGTTGTCTGTTCCACGTGTGTCGAGCAAAGCAAAGGATAGCTGCTGACGCGAACAGGCGCATGGTTCAAGGCATCGTTGGTCCTGATGTTCCTGGGGTACAGTCAATCAAGCGTCTCCGATTGAGGGAAAGATGACAAGGTGCTCCTTGTCGGTCCCAGATGACTAGGCCAAAGTTATTGAACCATACTGAGTGTAAAAGAGGATTAGGCCAAGGAGAGTCATTGAACCAGTCTAGAACAATTCATAACTTGGTTAATAAGAAGTCAAACATAAAAAATGTTATTAAGTAGTAAAACAATGTTGATTAATGAAATATAAAATGTTAGTTAATACTAAGGTGGACACTGGAGCACATCCCTAGTGGATACAACAAAATTACTCACAACTTGTAGGATAAAAATTTGCAACATAAGTATGAACATGAGTACATGCAATTATCCACTAAAATAAGCTGGTATGTGTGCAGGTACAAGTACATTAAAATCCACCCATACCCAGACTACACACGAGTATATTAGTACCCACCCAGACAATATATATATATATATATATATATATATATATATATATATATATATATATATATATATATATATATATATATATATATATATATATATATATATATATATATATATATATATATATATATATATATATATATATATATATATATATATATATATATATATTTTATTAATATCTATTAAATTTGTATATATTTTAATATAAATATTTATTTATTTAACTCAACAATAACATCTTTGATTTTTATACTATTGTTAAAAACTTAGAATCACATGATAAATTATAATTTATCGATATTTTTTTTATAAAAAAATAGTAAATAAATATAGGTGATTATATATCTATAGGATACGATACAAGTAAGCATCCACGCAAATATGGATATGGAAGTAATTAAAAACACGCTTTTTTTTTTCAATTAAGAGGTGAAATTATTAAAGATAAAGTATTTATATTACAAAATCATTTTTACATATTTTTAAAAAATATTTTTATTATAATTATGGTGAAACTAGGTGTAAGTATTTATGAAACGGCAGCAGGCCTACGTCTCAATTCTAACCAATTGTAATTTGCTGCGAATTTAAGCCTGCAAACATAACTCAAGAAAACTATATTTAGATTCTAACACCTAGACACCATTCATGTTCGTGGCGTACATATTTATACAATTTTATATAGAAGATTAAAGGTTTATAAATAATAATATTGTATTTTTATAAATCTATGAATATAAATTTTTAATAAGGTCGATTTTATCATCTAAAAAGAAATAGCACCACATTTTGTTATTCATTTGCTTTATATTTTTGTATAAATTTTTAATATTTGATAATTAAAAAAAATCATGATTCAGAAGATTAAATAGAGTAAAATAATTTTTATATAAATTTTAAGTTGTTTTTTTTCTTTCTAATTTTCTAAAAAAGTTTTTAAAAAAAAGCTGAAAACATATTCACAATAAACAAATCAAATCAAACAAAAATAATGGAAACAAACATGAAAAAGAATAAGATAGACAATTAACACCAACTATACCAAGTTGAAAAATGAAATCACTTTGTAGTAAAGAAGAGTCGGTGACACATATATTCTTTGAGTGTTCAGTTTTTGCGGAGGTTTGGGATTGTGTGTTGTTTGGTTCAACATACATACGGCGATGCATAATGATAGGGTTTGGTATGTTGTGTGTTGTTGTTGGTTAAACATATCTACAGCAATGCATAATGATAGTATATCGCATTTGAAGTAATTTGAAGGATTGTTAGATGGAGGCATAAATGTCGGTAATCAGGCCAAGTAATTTGGTTTGCCTGTGTGTGGAATATTTGAAAAGCATTATTTCAAAACAAAAATATTAACTCTGAAAATATGGTAGAGAAGTTGAAAGTAAAAGCAAAGAAATGGAACACAAGATAGCGCTATGGTGCTTGAACCCAGGGGCAAGTCTAGGTTTCATAGATGAATAACCGATTGACATAAGTTTGTTTTCCCATGAAATTGGGGAAAGTAAAATGTATGTGTGTTTGGAGAGCTCTGTTTTCACGAGTTTGTAGATGTCAGTTCTGTGGTGCAGCGGGGGTCGTGTGGTAGATAGGCCCCCTCTTTGTGTTGCTGTAGATCTTGGTGCAGTTTGGTGAATAAGGTGTTTGCTCGCAATGTAGATTGTTGTTGGGTTTGGGAGTGGCTGGTTTGAGTTTGTAGCAGTCTCGTGGAGAGCTGAAGAAAGTTTTTGAGTGGAGAGCTGAAGAAAGTTTTTGAGTGATCTGATCAAGGGCTTAATTCATAAGCTTTTTAGGTGGTTTGGTGCACAATTTCAATCAGTTTTTCAGCATGTGATCATTGCCCAGAAAGTCTGGTTTTTCCAGATAGACGGCTGAAGTTGTTGAATTTTGCAGGTTGATTTTGCTGTTGTTTAGGTGCAATTGGTTGTTGAATTTGGTGTTGTTTTTGTTCAGGTAGTTTGTTCTATCAGTTTGTTGGTGTTGCTGACCTGTAGCACTGTTGGCGTGGTTTATAGTAATAGTACTGTCCATGTGGTATTAGTGACTGGTTTGTTGTAGTTTTCTGTTTCCTGTCATAGAATTGCTTGTGCTGTGATATCGGATTTGTTATTAATGTTATCTTTCTTTGCCTTTTGCAAAAAAAAATTTAAAAACTCATTTTGATACATCTGCGGGTTAACGTCCAAAATAAAAAGAAGAGAGATCGTGTGTCATACTACCAAAATGGCTTAATCGCTTAATAAGATTAGAGGACAAAACAAGTTCCTCCTTGAGTCTTTCTCAAATGCTCGAAACAAAATTACATATTATCAGGCAAAGCTCTGAATTCAGATATCTCAACAAAAAGAACCGCCGTTTTATTTAATTCCCGTTGAACTTGCAAAAATACACGACTTACAGCAGAAGACTGTATACATTTCAAAACTCATCAGGTTCCTCACAGATCCTCGGGGCCATTAATTTCCTGCGCATGGAAGTTCTAGCTTTAGGATTACATAGAATGATAACGTAACCTAAAGATCACAAGGGCAAATAAGGACCATGTGAATGATCAAATACCTTGTTTGCAAGCACAGTCCCGTCAGGTATTTCCAGCTTTACACCAGGTTCTGCAACAATACTTACTTTTCCCTGTTAAGATGCCAGTAATATGACACGATAAAATTTATTCAAATTGTCAATGGCATAAAAGGTCGTAGGTAGGATTAATAAACTACTTGCAGAGAGAATACAAAACAGGAACCTCAACAAAATTGTACCGGGTCAGTTTGAAAATCGATATGATAATTGTATGATTTCTTGCTGACATTCTTATAAGTTGTTTAATTTCCAATTGGCAACGTCCCAAGCAGAAATCCAAACATGTGATTAGTTTACTTGCTATAAGTCAAAATTTAGGAAGTTTCTGGAACAAGCATAAAGATATATTTTTTTTTTAAAGAACGTCTCAATTGATCTATACCATTAGAAAACAACTCTGATCCTAATGTAATACCAATGAAACTTTGACTTTGATCATTGTTTGTTTGGTAACACTGCTTCTAAGGAAGGATCAAACCTCACCACACCTTAGCTGATTCTTAAAACTAGGCCTAACGATATCAATTGTGCTATTAGCTCAGTGTGCACGAGCCTTTAGAAGAGGAAGTATTAAAGTTTCCTGCATTTAGTATTAGATCATATTGTTTTTTTGTTTTAGTTTTACATCTAGATATTACTAGTAGCTGTTAGTGGCACTGGTAGAATAGGTTTGATATAGTTTATTGTTATGCGGTTATACCTCTCCTTCCATTGTATATATACTCTTTGATCCATTCAATATAGAGTTGAAGCTCAGTTTTCATTCAATTGTAGATCATCTTATTTATTGCTTATGATTTATGACTGTGAAAAGTAACACTCATAAGAGAGTTTTTGACTACTAGTAGTAGTAATTGAATTTAAAACAGCAACAAGAAGCATTTATATGATCCGGAGTAACTAAAGTCATATTTATGCTAAGAATGAAGCAAAACAGTAAAGAACAAAAGAATCAGACATAAGGATAAAATTCAAAACCTTAAGGGTAACACCAGCTCCAAACCATACATCGCCTGCCACTTTTAGACTGTCAAGCTCAACAATACTGGGAATTGACTTGAACCTTCCCAAGAAGCTGCTAACCTGTGAAGGAAAAAAGGAAAATCAATTATTCACCATCTAAAATAAATTAAGTATAAACATAGATCTTAACCTTCTTATATTCCGGCCCTAATTCAATAGAGGGGTTTTCAGGATTTGCCCTAGCTTGGTTCCTAACAACAAATCCATCTTGTAAAGTGTAAAGGTCTGACTGCAAAATAGTACAACTAACTGTGTCAAGCAAAATATTTAAATAATTTGACAAACAAGTTCTCATGACTTCAATCAGAAAATCTTATAACCTGAACAAGAAGCAAATCTGAAGTTGCCTTCACCGGAAGGAAGCGGGATCGAGGAACATTAATTCCAATAGCCTTATCAAAGAACTGTTACAAGATACGGTATCAAGAGCACTACGACAAAAGTTTCAGCATTAAAAACATGTTAGTAACATTAATATCTCAATAAACATTCATTACCTTAATAGCTGCACCAGCTGCTGTTTCCAACTGAAGAACTTTTACTCCATCAACTTCCTAAATCCACAAATTTTGTCAGCAATTTAGATCTTAACCAACAATATAGCAACCCTGTAAAAGACAATGAAACAAAAGGAAAAGATGAGCTATTGTCTGTCTATTGAAAATGACAGATATTAACCTTAGGATTGGGAATAATCTCCATCTTCAGAGCATCAGCCTCAACAAGCCTTTTAATTGCTTTTAAGTTCACCCATCTGTAAATCACATGTTGTCAATAGTCAGCACACGAAATGTGAATATAATCCATAACAATCAGGGAACAAACCAACAGAACTTACAAGTTATTTGTATTGAAAATTTTGAACTTCTCTATCGACTTAAATTCACTGACCTGCAAGAAAACAGACATTGAATGATCAAGCTAAAAAATTCTCCAACACACTTGCCAATAACTTGTTATCATAATTTACAAGAATGCTACAGCTACATAAATTATGATCAAATGTCAGAATATCATGGTCAAAAAAGTGTTGCACACTGTCGTTATCAAGTGAGCATTAACTCGAGGAAAGTAAATTGAGAGCAAAAGGAGAGGGGAGGGTAGATTTTGTTAACAATAATAGGATAATGTATAAACCTCATCCACTTTATTACTTCTTAAGGTAACAGATAAACCAAATAAAAGTCGCAAATGTGTGTTTGAACATCATACGACTCACTTTCCAGTTCCCACTCTAAATCCTAATTAAGGAGTCATCGTAAGGTAAAACTTCTGAACGTTGTCCTACCAATGTCAACGGTGGATTAAACTTTAAAATAGAATTTTGACAATTCATGATTATAGTTCATGAGATGTGGCCAAGTCTGGTCCAATTCAATAGGCTTTTTGTTGTCTCAACATAGGAGCTATTATCAAAACAAGAGCTGATAATGTAAAAGGGTTTAGTGAATAAATGATGCTTCATAACTCTCCATAGTTCCTTATGTTGAATATATCATTTTCGACCTTCAGATATTCCATTGAAAAAATAGTGTCAACTCTATTTAAAATGACAGCAATTATAGTCTTTTTCCTTTCCTGTTCTATTATTAAAAACTGGTTTTGCCTAGCCACAAGCTTTCTGGCCAAACAAGTATTTAGCAACTTGTTGGCACCAATTCAACTTAAAGGTCCTCGAGACAGCCAACAAAATATAGCTATTTAAAAGCAAGATGGTCATTTCCTTCTTACTTAGTCATAAAAACCCACATTATTAACCAAGATCCTTATGCTTAATAATTTACAAAAACAATTACCAGTACATACACTTGGGAAAGGGAGATGATCTAAGAAAGAATACAAGTCAGATTTAGTGGCTTACATGTTCATCTGGGACTTGGGCAATTTCCAGGAGCTGCATTAAACAATCAAAGATAACATCACTTAGCATCAATACCTTACGATTCTAATTGATCATACCTTTCTTAATTTTATTTAAAACTTAAAAAAAGTAAGGAAGGAGCAAAGCTGCCAAAGCAAGATAGTTATTGAACTCTATATATCTATGCATATAGAATACACAACAATGAAGCAAGTTAAAAACAAAGGGACTTCAGACATTTGCTACAATCAAAAGAAATGAATTAAGCAACAGATACGTGCCTGAACCCTTCCTTCATAAGAAATAAGAGTGCCACCTTTCACATCAGCCAATGTCTTGGGAGTCACCTGCATTACAAGCACCAAGAAAAAAAAATCAATATTATGTAGGTCTAAATGTAAATGGAAGTTTCTTGATAATAGTCATCTTTATTTACCTCCATACAGTATTCGTTCTTATTCTGGATCAAATGATTTAAGATTTCTTGATTAACCAGTCAAGGATACTGCTGTACCAGAGATACCCTTTTCATGTATAAATAACAAACAAGCAATATGATAAGCCTAGGCCACCCATCACCAAGTTTTACACCCGCAAGCAGCGATGTCCAAGGAGTGCAGGGTCAAGAGATGCGAATCAGGGGGCATGACCCTTGGTGAACAGACACACCCACCCGAAAGGATGCAACCCTTGGAACCAAACAACATGAAATCTAACGGTCACAACCCTTCAGATTAATTGTGCCAATTAGGAAGAGATGTTAAATGCAGTATAAATAGAAGCAAACCAGAATTAGGAAACCATTAAGGAAAATTAGGAAGAATTGGAATTGTGGAGAGACAGGCTCTCGAAAACCTGTGTTGTAATATTCCAAAATATCTACATAAATTTCAGTTGTAATATTCCAAAATTATTTGCATAAATTTCAATTTTCATCTTTTCATTTCTGTTTCATTTTTTTTTTTTTGTTCTTATCAATTGGTATCAGAGCACCGTCTAGGTGCTTTGCTTTCAACTATGGTGACAACTCGATCTAATTCCGAAAATCCAGATACAATGGAGATAATTTTGGAAATGTTAATTGCGGACCGACAAAACCGAGATGCAGAACGACAACAATTCGAAACACGCTTTGCACGCCTAGAAGCCATGGTGGAAAATTTGTCCAAACATTCAGAAGATGGCACACCCAAAGGTTCCATCAATGGAGAACATTCAACCAAGGTCCACACCAGAGAAAGAAAAACAGAACGTTGGAGATAATTGGCAATCCCCATATATGATGGAGAATCTGATGCTTATGGCTAGATAAATAAATTGGAACGCTTCTTTCAAAGGAGGGACATCCTAGAAGAAGAGAAAATCCAGGCAGTTATGGTGGCTCTAGAGGGAAAATTGCTATCTTGGTTCCAATGGTGGGAGAATTGCAATTCTGATATTGGATGGGAAGATGGGAAGATTTCAAACTTGCCATTCTAGAAAGGTTCCAAACTTCAGCCACTCTCAACCCTTTTGCTGCCCTCCTTACACTTAAACAAGAAGAAACGGTGGAAGAGTACGTTGAACAATTTGAAAAGTTTGCAGGTATGCTGAAAAATGTCGATGAAGAACATTTAAAGGACATTTTTGGGAACGGATTAAAGGAAGACATTGGGGCAGAAATTAAACTCTACGAACCATCCAATTTTTCAATCATGGTCAAGAAGGCATTAATGATCGATGAAAAAAATAGAGCAATTTGGAAGGTGGGACCGAATGCTCCTTCTAACTCAATTCAAAATTCAACAACTCATATCGAAGTCAATCCTATTTGAAGACTGTTACTTATGGTGTTAGTCAGAAAGTTGGAGGAAAAAGTAATGGCCCTTCTAATTCTTTTGCGGGTAGTGTATCTGTGAACAAACCAGAGAACAACAACTGACCCAGAGGATTTCAACGATTAATCAAAGCAGAACTTCAAGAGAAGAGGAAGAAAGGAGAATGTTTTCGTTGTGAAGAAAAATGGAGCACTTCTCATGTATGCAGAAATAAACAACTTCAGATAATGTTAGTAACAAAAGAAGATGATGTTGAAAACTCCGAAGAGGAGCCCGAATCAGAATTTGGAGAAACACCCCAATTATCCATGAATAGTATTGTGGGATTTACTTCTCGCTGATCCATGAAGGTTTGGGAAAGTATTGATGATAACAGAATCATAGTATTGGTAGACTGCGGCGCCACCCACAACTTCATTTCGAAGGAACTGGTGGAAAAATTAAAATTAGAGGTGGAAGACACTCCATCATACGTTGTAGAAGTCAGAGATGGTCACAAAATCAATTGTAAGGGAGTATGTAGAAAGGTTCCCTTGAAAGTGCAAGAAGTACAAGTACAACAACAGTTCTTGTTTCGCCTCGGAGGCGTGGATGTGGTTTTAGGCATGGAATGGTTAGCAAGGTTGGAAGAGATTAGTGGCAACTTTGAACAACTAACGTTGGGCTTTAAGATTAATGGCAGAAAGGTGATTTTAAAGGGAGATCCAGAACTTTCAAAGAAAGACACCTCACTTAATTCTATGTTGAAAGCTTTGCAGCAAGGAGAAGGGTTCCTTATCGATTATCATCATATTCAAGCAGAGATAGATTGGAAGGATTCAATCCCGTCAGAATTAAAAGATGTGCTACATGATTTCCCTTCCATCTTTGAACCCCCGGAAAGACTTCCTCCTCATCGACGTCAAGACCATGCCATTCACCTCAAAGAAGGAGCCCGAATACCGAATATCAGACCATACAGATATCCTCACTATCAAAAAAACAGAAATTGAAAAATTGGTTGCGGAGATGTTAGAAGCGGGCATCATCCGACCATCTACGAGTCCTTATTCTAGTCCTGTCATCCTAGTCAGAAAAAAAGACAGAGTTGGCGGTTTTGTGTAGATTACAGGGCCTTGAATAAAATCACTATTCCCGACAAATTTCCCATCCTGGTGATTGAAGAGTTGTTGGACGAAATTGGAGGGGCCAACATCTTTTCAAAACTGGATTTAAGATCCGGATACCACCAAATCAGAATGAAGGAAGAGGATATTGCAAAAACTGCTTTCTGAACACATGAAGGTCATTATGAATTTATGGTACTTCCATTTGGACTTACTAACGCACCTTCTTCTTTTCAATCATTAATGAATGAAGTATTAAGGCCAATACTCCGAAAATACGTTTTGGTATTCTTCGATGATATCCTAATATACAACCCTCCTAATACACAAGCAACATCTGCAAAATGTATTAACGTTACTCCAACAAAATGAATTAAAGATCAACGGCAAGAAGTGCTCATTTGGCCAAGATAACTTGAAATATCTGGGACATGTTATTTCTGCTGGAGAAGTATCCGCAAATCTTAAGTTAGAAGCAACGATGCTATGGCCTTCACCCAAAGATGTCACCCGCTTAAGGGGATTCCTAGGCCTTACAGGCTATTATAGGAGGTTCTCGTTCATGATTATGGAAGAATGGCAAGGCCATTGACCAACCTGTTGAAGAAAAATGCCTTCCAATGGAGTTCAGAGGCACAACTTGCATTTGAACAACTAAAGCAAGCCATGACCAATTTGCCTACATTAGCAGTATCCAACTTTTCAAAGCCTTTTGTGGTTGAAACAGATGATGCTTACGGAACCGGACTAGGGGCTGTTCTAATGCAAGAAGGGGCTGTTCTAATGCAAGAAGGAAGACCCCTAGCCTTTTGGAGTACTACCCTATCAGAAAGGAATCAGAGGAAATCAGTGTGTGATCGCGAATTGATGGTAGTCATATAAGCAGTTCAGAAATGGTGACACTACTTGTTGGGAAACCATTTTATTATTAAAACTGACCAAAAAAGTTTGAAATTTTTGACAGATCAAAGGATGATCGCTGAGGATCAATACAAATGGATTTCCAAATTAGCAGGATATGATTTTGAAACACAGTATAAACCAGAGAAGGAAAACTCTGCAGCTGATGCCCTATCCAGGAGAAGTTCTTATTGTGCCATGACAGTCTTGCAAATTCACGATTTCAAGGAATGGGCTGAAGAGGTCAAACAAGATGTCAAGTTACAGAAAATCATGCAAGACCTAATTATCAATCTCATGTCTCATGTTGGCTACACGTTAAGGGATCAAAAACTATTTTACAAGGAGAAATTGGTGTTGTCCAAATCGTCCTCCAGAAATTCCCATCATTTTAAAAGAATTCCATTCATCCTTGATAGGAGGACACTCAGGAATCTTCAGGACTTATAAAAGAATAGCATATCGAGTTTATTGGGAAGGGATGAAAACCGACATCAAAAATTTCATCGCAGCTTGCGAAGTATGTCAAAGAAACAAAAGCTGACAACTTATCACCAGCAGGACTGCTACAGCCATTGCCAATTCCTACTCAAGTATGGACAGACATTTCGATGGATTTTATTGGAGGACCACCCAAATCCATGGGGAAAGATACAATTCTGGTGGTGGTTGACCGGCTCACCAAATATACCCACTTCATACCATTAGGGCATCCTTATACCGCTATTGATGTTGCTGCAGTTTTTCTACAGAAAATTGTAAGATTGTATGGATTTCCGTCTTCCATTGTTTCGGATCGCGATCCTTTGTTTTAAAGCAATTTTTGGAAAGTCCTTTTTAAAGCAGCAGATACACAGCTAAAATTCAGTTCGGCATACCATCCTCAAACGGATGGACAAACGAAAGTTGTCAATCAATGCTTGAAAGTTTATTTACGATGCTTAACAGGTACTAAACCTAAGAAATGGGTCTCTTGTTTTCCCTGGGCAGAATTCTAGTTTAACACCAATTATAATGCTTCAAGCAAAATGTCCCCTTTCAAACAAAGTGTTGTATGGACATGATCCACCTTATATTCTTAAGGGATCCACCATTCCTTCCCGCCTTGAAGAAGTCAACAAACTTACCACCATTCCTTCCCGCCTTGAAGAAGTCAACAAACTTACAATTGACCGGGATGAATTATTGGCGGCTCTGAGAGAGAATTTGTTGAAGTCCCAAGATGTCATGCGCACAAATGCCAACAAACGCCGCCGAGATATAGAATATGAAATTGGTGATTGGGTGTTCTTAAAGATGCAACCTTAGAGGAGAAGATCCTTGGCTAAAAGGATTAATGAAAAACTCTCCCCTCGATTTTATGGTCCTTTCCAGGTGTTAAAAAATGTGGGTGTTGTTACTTACAAATTGGATCTTCCATCTCACAGGAAAATTCATCTAGTATTTCATGTCTCTCTCCTCAAGAAGGCCATTGGGGATTCTTTCCAATCCCAACCTTTACCACCTATGCTATCTGAGGATCAGAAATTAAAAGTTTATTCGGACACTGTTTTAGATATTCGTGAATTACAACCTGACAACGTGGAAGTCTTAGTTAAATGGCAGAATCTCCCTACAAGTGAAAATAGTTGGGAATCTGTAGCTAAATTACAAGAGGTCTTCCCACATTATCACTTGAAGACAAGGTGAATCTTTTAGACGGGGGTATTGATAAGCCTAAGCCACCCGTCACCAAGTTTTACACCCGTAGGCAGCGATGCCCAAGGAGTGCAGAGTCAAGAGTTGCGAATCAGGGGGCATGACCTTTGGTGAACAGACACACCCACCCGAAAGGATGCAACCCTTGGAACCAAACAATATGAAATCTAACAGTCACAACCCTTCAGATTAATTGTGCCAATTAGGAAGAGATGTTAAATGCAGTATAAATAGAAGTAAACCAGAATTAGGAAACCATTCAAGAAAATTAGGAAGAATTTGAACGGTGGAGAGACAGGCTCTCAAAAATCTGTGTTGTAATAACCTAAAATTATCTACATAAATTTCAGTTTTCATCTTTTCATTTTTGTTCCATTTTTTTTTTAGTTTTTATCACAATACAACCAAAAAGTAATAGAAAAGAAAACCATAAGGAAGGATACTCAAATCAACTAGGGCACCCAAGTTATCTGAATTGGCAACGAACACATACTCCTTACCCTGTCAGAGAATAGAAAAAGAAAAGGTAGTGATGGATTAATTTTTAAATAAAAAATAGAAGATAAGGTCCAACTAGAAATAAAATGAGTGGGTTCTGGCTTCAACCTGTGATAATAGTGCATCGAGCTTTCCACTGTTCATTAGTGATGAGAAGACATCTCCATGGCCAGGAGGGTACCTGTGCATGAAGGAATTATTCGTAAATTTATTGGAAGAGACATGCTTAAGGTTATAGTTATGATCAACCCCATCAATTAAAACTTATCAAATCCTATGTTAAACAACGACAACAAAGCAGGGGAACCACTTCCAACGCAGCCATAATATGATAGTATACTTTCTATTCTAGCTCACTAGTTTTTTATGAAGGAAAGCAGCCGAGTTCATGAATATGAAATCTATGCAACTCTTTGGTGACAACATTAAGTGTTAGCTTATATTTAGTGCAAAGCCCTGTTACAAGGGTTTCTTTGATTAAAGTTAACATATTGGGCAGCTTTAATTCATTGATGTTTTCTTGTTCCCTTTGTTCTCTTTTCATTTTTTATTCTGTAAGGAGGATCTTTAATCCTCCGAACTCTTTGTAATCATATTCTTTTCTCCGTGATACATATATCATTCTCACACCTTTCAATAACTTTTATTTATAAATGGTGAATGTCCGACTATTGGGTTAAAAGTTTACATGGAATAGATTGAGTATATAAATTTTTATATAATTGAAATAACAAAGATGAAAAATCCCAATAAAACTAGTGAGTCCATGTATTTATATTGCAGAGAAAAAATGCAAATGAAGTTGTACCAGCCGTCCTTTCCAGTCTGCCCTTTGGATGGAAGTGGCAAGAAGTCATCAACAACTAAACGAGGATATTGGCTCTGTAAATTTTTGTTTGTGCAAGAAAAATTCAATCACGAAGTTAAAACACAATTTCCAGAAAATTCGTAATATAGTAAGTCCAATAAATTAGAGGTACAAACCTGGTTAAAGGTATGGATCTCAACATTCGAGTTTGTATATTTTTCAACAATCTACAAACGGTTAAATTGTTAGATTACATAAAAATACAGCCTATGATTCTATCCTAGGAGGATGGGGGACAAAGGTAAAGATCATATACCTTTTGAGTGTCATCATGAGTGTTGAATGAGTTCATCAAAAGCAATGGAACACTGCTTCCATATTTGGAATTGAGATTCTAAAACAATTTATGTTATCAGTAGAAAATCCATACAAAGTCTGGAAAGAGAATAAAAGCCAAGCAAATGAATGATCTGAAAATTACCTCAATCTGGATGACAATTAAATCAAGAAATGTCAACCCATCACGAACTTCAATGACAGATCTGCAGTTCATTTCATTTGTTAACAAATTAAAGCTAGCATGCTGATGGTTAAAAAAAAAACAAGTTAAGATAATTATCTAGAAAAAAACTTAGGTTCCAAATCCAGATCATTGAGTAAATTTTTTGTTAAAAATTTGAATAAAGTTGTGTAGACAAATAAGTTGCAATTTTTCCCTGCAATAAAAACGGCAAGAAATAAAGAAGAAAAACTTATAATCATCTAGAGTAAAAGTGAAAACAACATAAAGTATTATCGTATTGAGCATACTTTGGACCAGTGCAGCCCATAGTTGTCCCCAATCCTCCATTAAGCTTCAAAACTACAAGCTTGTCCAAGAGGTTCTTCACATCTGAAGAACCTGAAACAATTTTGATTCATGTCATTAACATATCAATCTATTATACAATTTACACAATGATACCATCAAATCGGCTAAATCAAACCGAAACAGAAAGATTACCCTCAGGAGTTGGTGCCAAACTGTCATAAGGCACAACTACTTCATCAGTAGGTGTCTGGATCTTACTCCATTCAACATGCTGTGCTTCTCCACTGCGATTAATGATTTCAATGCATTGAGAAAAAAAAGTATTAACCAAAACAAAACAATAAAATCACTTAAAATATGCGATTGAAGAATGAAGATCATGAAAAGTGCTAACAAAAAGCGATTCGTACCTGAGATAACGAGCGACGAGGTTGATGAATCCGTTCTTTTCGTTTTCGCTGCATGTAACACAGATTCAAAATATATGAAAATATTAACGGAATTTTTTTTTAAAATAAATATAAATAAAATGAAATTCTGATTCGTGATCACGAGAATCGTTCGATTTAAGCGAGAAAGGAAATGAAAAATGGAATGGAGAAAGAGTGAGGACCTGATTTGGGACAATGCAGCGGTGGCGGATTGAAGGTTGGAGAGTTTATCGGCGTTGGCGGTGGCCATTGAAGGAAGGTTCTAGAATTTGTGGAGATTAGAGCGCGAGTTTCTAAGTTACGAAGAAGAGTAGGGGTGGTTGAATCGGTTATGAGAATGGTGAAGAGATCGATGGTGTTGTTTTGGGACATAGTTTGTAATTTATATGCACCCGAATAAATTGGTGATAGAACTCTTCATCACTAAATTATTAGTAAATAGATCAAGTTTTCTTCTTAAATTTTATTTAGATTCATGCAATTATAGCATTATCAACTAAAGTACTTACATGATAACAAATCCCTTAATTATCCTTTTACATTAATTATATTATGTTCAATGATAGAATAAAAGAGTAAATAACATAATATAGAAATATAGAGTAAGCTTTGTTTGCTATCTTGCACATTTCTATTGGTCCAAATTTCCCTTCTCTCCCTTTTATTAAACTTTTCTCTCTTTTTCTTCTCATCTCCAATTTCACCCCTCTCTCTCTCTCCTCTTTTTCCCAACTTGAAGAACAATTAAAAGAACATGAATTATTTCTAACGCAAACTTTCTCTCTCTCCCCTCTCATCTTTCTTCAATATTGTCTAAGATAATCTCTTCTCTCAATTTAGTTTATTCTTATGTTGCAACAATTTTTGTTAAACTTTTTCACCTTTATTATGGAACAATGATTTATGTTAAAAACTTTTACCCTTTAATATGGATTAACGGTTTATGTGAAAGTTCATTCTTTATCGTTTCTTTGTTACTCATTCCAAACTCATACGCAAATTTTTGCAATATTTTATCAAAGTTCAACTTTATCGTTTCTTTGTTACTCATTTCGAACTCATACGCAAATTTTCACAATGTTTTATCAAAGTTTTATCCAGCATTACCATGTGTTTTCATACCACAAAGTGTATCTTTTCATGTCAAAGTTGAAAACTTTAAAACAATGTTGTTTTTTGTTACTCATTTCTAAGTCTATATTTTCTTTTACTTGCAAAATCTATATGTCTTGATACTCATTTCAAAATCATACCACAAATTCTAGTTTTAAGTGGGAAAACTCAAAACTTTGCACATATTTTATTTCTTTGATGTTTGAATATTATTTTATATTATAGTCCAAAAATCGATTTACATATAGCGACATGTTATGATTTCCTGTCCATTATGTTATCGACTTGTTGATGTTTAACCACTATTTTATTGTTACCATTATCGTTCAGTTATGTTTGATCATTATAGATGATGTGGTATATCTTTAAATATGTACGGTTTTGTGCTAATGAAATGTTTTTTTTTTGCTTTTCTTACTCTTTATTATCATGTGTGAGATATTGAAATCGAACTCTAGTTGGTCGAAGGTAACTTCTTAGTTTTGACAGTTCGACAGAGTTGTAGCATGTAGTCGAAGATTGCTCACATGCTAGTGTCGAAGTATTGTATATTGTAGTCGAAGAAAGGTCAAGCATGCAGTGGTCGAAGAATGTTAGGATTGTTAGCATCAAATTGGACTTGTTTGTTATGAATTGTTTAAGTTAGCTTGTGCCCTAAGTTAGCTTGTAATGGGTATTTGTGATAAAACTCATTAGTTTAGTATGTTAGGTTTATTATAAATAATATACTAGTCACTCATCATTGTATACTACAAATCCTAATTTAGGGTGAAAGGATTATTTGTTATTCTTATGTACTTGTAATCTTGTTTGAAGAGAAAGTAAAGAATAGCAGTTAAAAACCAATTCCTTGTGTTCTTCTTGTCTTTCCATCTTTTCTATCCTTGATTATTTCTTGATCATAAAGAAACAGTTTATACTTTGTTTCTAAGGCATCATTTTCACAATAAATTGGTGCGGTGAGCATGGAGAAGATGCCTTCAAAAAGTATAAGATTGAAAAGTCATCAGAGTGAACGATTTTGGTTTGTGGCGCTTGAGGATTAAAGCCCTACTGGTTCAACAGAGTTGTTTGGAAGCGTTGAAGGGAGAGGCAGCCATGAATGATGTGTTAACAACAACTGAGAAGACGGCGATGATAGAGAAATGCCACAGCGCAATCTTGTTGAGCCTTGGTGATAAGGTTCTTCTACAAGTATCAAAGGAGAAGAAGGCATCAGAGCTTTGGGTGAAACTTGAAAGTTTGTACGTGACCAAATTGTTTGTAAATCGACTCTACTTGAAGCAAGCTTTGTATTCATTCAAGATGATTGAAGATAAAGTGTTGGTTAAGCAGTTGGATATGTTTAATAAGCTGATTCTTAATCTTGAAAATATTAATGTGAAGATTGATGATGAATATTAAGCGTTGTTAATGTTGTGTGTTTTGCCCAAATCACATGCTCACTTCAAAGAAACCCTCTTGTATGGAAGAAAGTCATTGACCTTTGAAGAAGTTCAATCAAACTTGTATTATAAGGAATTGAAAAAATGAAAGGAGCATAAATCTTTGACGGTTGGTGAAGGTTTGGTTGTAGAGGAAAATTCTTGCGAAAGGATGGTAAGTTCGACAAGACGAAAGGTAAAAGTCAGCATAAGTCTTATGGTGGCGAAGCATATGGTATTTGATGTTATCATTGTAAGCAGGAGGGTAAGACAATAAAGGTGTGCCCTGAATGCTTAAAAGATCATGGAGGTAAGGATAATGGCAACACAACCATTGTTCAAGATGATTTCGACTCATCTAATGTTCTTGTGGTTTCAAGCAGTAACTCGAGAAAATAGTGGATTATGGATTTAGGTTGCACTTGGAACATGACTCCAAACAAAGACTTATTCGAGGAATTATGTGATCAAGATGGTGGATCTGTATTGCTAGGAAACAACAAAGCTTGCAAGATTACAGGTACTGGATCTGTGAGATTCAAGGTCCATGATGAGTCAATAAGGTTATTAACTGAAGTTAGGTATGTACCTATTTTGAAGAGAAATTTGATTTCTCTTTGTGAATTTGATAAGAAAGGATATATTTTCCAATGAGAGAAAAGTTCCTACGAGTCATGAAGGGGTCGAAGGAAGTATTGAGAAGCGTGAAGAAGCAAGGCTTGTATACCCTTGAGGCTGAAGTTGTAAGTGGTTTGATAAATGTTGCATCCATGAAACCTTTATCAAAGACTGAAATTTGGCACATGAGATTGGGCCATGTCAGTGAAATGGGCTTGATCGAATTGGGGAAACAAAAGTTGCTTGGAGGAGACAAAATTGAAAAGCTGAAGTTTTGTGAACTCTGTGTACTTGGAAAATCTTGCAGAGTGAAGTTAAACAAACACAAACAAAGAACACATGGATCCCTTGATTACATCCATGCTTGTCTTTGAGGGGCTGCAAGGTGTCCATCATTAGTCGAAAATTAAACTGGAAGAAATGTCAAGAGGTTGAGAACTGACAATGGCCTTGAATTTTGCAATGAGGCTTTCGATAGTTTTTGTTCTGCCTCTGGTATTGCGAGGTACAAAACTATTGCAGACACTCAACAGTAAAATGGTTTGGCTGAAAGGTTTAATCGAACTATTTTGGAGAGAGTTAGATGCATGTTGACTAATGTTGGTGTAACACGGTGGGAGATCTGACTTGGTGTTTTGCGTTTGATCGCAATTGTTCAGATAGCAAGAGTCGCCACCGACTTTTCTTTTATCCAATAAGGAAAGGCTGAAAAGAACAGGAAAGACCTTTAGAGATGTTTTCTTGAGTTCGGGGGGTAGATTATGAAAAGGAAAGGTATTAGCACCCTTTTCATCTGTAGTTATCTACGGGCTCTTAGTTGCTTGCTAGATCACTTGCTTTTGTTTGAAGATGTACTTGTGGTGTGGGTTTTGAAAGTATTTTGAAAATGTCTTTGTAATGGTTCTTGTTTCTATAAGAACGTGTACAAAGTGTTGTTTAGAAAATAGTTCAAAGAGGTATTTGTGGAATGTGTTTGAAAGTGATTTTGAAAAGGTGTCTTCTTTGTAATGGCTCTCGTTTCTATAAGAACACGTACAAAGTGTTTGTCTTTTGAAAATGTTTCAAGATGAAAGTGTTGGTATAAAAAATGTTTTGTTGTGAGAAAGCGAGCAACTAGGAGCGAATCTACCTACTCAAAAGGTCTTAGATGTTCTTTTCCTCCTCCTTTAGATGTTGTTATCTTACCATCGTTTTGGTAAGAAGCCCCATCGTTGGATGTGAAGGGACGGGTGTGGGTCAATCGTACAGTCATAAAAGGCAACTTGTGAGACGCTTTAGCAATTTTCGTAAGGGACTAGATCACTTTACCGAAGGTAACATCGAGGGACATTGAGGGACTACGATCTTTTTTATCGAAGGGTCTTTGCTAAAGCGTCTCATATTCGAGGGAAATGACTGTGTTTCCAAAGCAACAAGCGAGGTTACCCTAGAGGTGCGTGTGTGCGAAGTGATTTGTTTTCAATTGAATTGTCTTGAACTTAGGTTATCTAGCGGTTATTTTTATGTCTTGTCATACACGCATAATTACTATACAGTATAAGGAAAATAGTAAATCGCGGAAATTAAAATTCTACGCTATTACATAACTTTCGGGAGTGGGGGTACAAATTCACAAATGGGGATGGATCAATACGATTACAAGTCTAAATAGGCAATTAATACAACCAAATTGAATCGAGCAATTAATTAAAACCACAACAACCCATGAAGTAAATTAATTGACAAAGCATGGAAATAAAGTTCTTGATGTCTTTTTGTTTGTGAGAAAATTTGAAAAGAAGAAAATAAAATTCTATTTTATTAAAGAAAATAATTGACTAAAGAAATTAAATCAAATGTATATTTTTTTAGCTTTTAGTATGTTTTTATTATGTAGAAACTAAATAAATTAATAAAATATTAACTAAATGATAAAATAAAATTATTCACAAATTGTCCTAATTTAAATTTAGAACTAAGCTAATTAAGAAAAATTAACTAACAAAATTACATGAACAAATAAAATCAAAACTAACAAAACAAAGTAAAATGGTGGTGTTAAAATTACTATGGGTGTGTGAGGTAGAAATATAAGGGGAAAAGATAGTGTGATTGG